AAATAATTCTTCGCCTGAGCCCTCTGGGAAACTGAAGCGCTGGCTGCATAAGCTGGAGATGGCCAAGAACTCAGTAAGTCAGGCCAGCAGGGCGAGGGGATTTTTGGGGTGCTAGCAACCGCACGGCTGCGCGGGACCTGCTGCACCCCGTCTCCGGTGCTAATCCGTCCCTTCTCCCCGCCGCAGGAGACCAACGGCCTGAAGGCCTGCACCATCTTCCACCTCTTCCAATTCCTGTACGACCTGAAGTGCGCGGCTCTCCAGAAGCAATGCACTACCAAGGCAGTAGTGAGCTGCACGGCGCTCACCGGCCCCAAAGGCTGCCCCAAAACACACCCCAAGGACGGGGAAAAATGATTTTTATTGCGTCGCTGCTGTATTTCCTATTTATGTATTTTTTTATTATTATTTATGTTTATTTATGTGAGCTCAGGGAACAATTTTTTTTTTCAGTCTTATCAATTATTGGGGTTTATTGTGTATTTATAAATGGCTCGGGAGGAACTAAAGAAATGCCGTTCCTGAAAGATGCTGCTCCGTGGGGATGAATGTATTTATTGGGTATCTTTGTTTTGCTGGTTTACAAAACACTGCTTTTAAGGAAATCTATTTTTTTACGTGTTATTTATTACAGAGTATTTATGTATATTTGCCTGTATAAATTATTATTTTACATGCTATTTGATATGAAAAATAAAATAGATACTATAAACAGACAAGCTGCCATCCTGTGTTTTTACTGCGCTTTGCTATAATATCATCCCTTCGGAAAAGCGAGTTATTGCAGGGGGGGTGAGGGAGGACACTGGGTGAATTTTGAGCATTTGAAAATCCGCAAACCTATGGCACTCGCGTTCATCGCCCGACGCCTGGGGGTGCACCCTGACTGCTCCCCCGGGGTTTGACTTTGGGGACGGATGGATGCTGTGGTGGTCGGGGCTGTCCCGGGCGCTGGGGTGGTCGGGCCTGTCCCTGCCGGCTCGGGGACAGGAGCCTGCTGGCCGCCCGTTTCCAGGATGGATGCCCGTGTTGGGTGGTGCGAACCAGGGCACGAAGCCTGGAGGCGCCCACGGCCTAACATGATGCTCGCATCCCGGTACGGGCTGGCAAGCCATCAGATTTGGCCATCACGGGAGCTCCCAGAAGGTCCCTGAATGATTTAACCACCAAACCAGAGGTCAGGGCGAGTGAGGAGCTGGGGAAGGCAGGCACCCAGCGGGGAAAGGACGAAAAAGACCCATGAGCTGATGGAGAAGGGAATAAAGCTTTGTTTTCCCTTCTGTTTCCAAATTATGCTTTATACTGTGGTAGCCAGGCACTAAAGTGGGGAAATGCTGTTGCTACTCCATCTTTTGCAGCTGGCCTCAACCTGCTTCTGCAGGATTGATGGGACCTGGCCACTCGAGACACCCCCCAAGCACGTGCCTTCAAGCAGGCACCTGCACGTTTGGGCCTTATCGACTTCAAGCCGGGGGGCCAACGCACCCCGAGGGGAGAAGGAAACCCGTCCTGCTGCAAGCACACGAACGCACGCTGCCCGGAACCCAGAAACCCCAGGCAAGAGGCATTTCCATGCTACGTGGAGCGCCTTCGCCGGGACAGGGAGAAACCGGAGGCCGGACGCTGGGCTCTTTGGGGAGCTTTAATAGACTTTGGCATCTGGCTGCGCCCCGGGTGCTGCCCATCGGCTGCCACGTGATGTCAGGAGCGACACCCAAGGCAACGAAAACCCATCAGGAGGGAAATGCCGTAGGGTCAACAAGCTGGACGGGCAGGCAAAGCCCCAGCGGCGTGTCTGGCATTGCACATTGGCTCCTGGTTTTGGTTAAAATGAAGCACGCTTCCTCTCTCAAGACCGAGGCTGCAGCGATGCTTTGCCTGTCTGGCCATGGGCTCCCAGGAAAAGGCAGATGCCATCAGTGCCTCCTTTGGAAGGGTCCGCCCCAGCGACCCCTTCTCCCGGCCCCGCTCACAATTTCACCCCTCGGTTTCGAAGCCTTGCGAGAAATCCCTTTGTATGGGGCCTACGTTCAGCCAACAGCTACGGAGGAGGTTGTTTTTGAAACATTTCTGGCCAAAAGTGCTACGCTGCAATAGCCAAATGATAGATGGATGTGGAGAGGAAAGCCTAACGAGGGCAGAAGTTGTTTATTCATCCCCTGAAATAGACGTATTTAGATTATCCTGCTCTCATTAAGGCGTCTATCAAGTGATTATGAAATGCAGCTTCTGCGAAACGGCAGGGTCACAGCACAGCTCTCCGGAGCAGAAAGCGAGGGCAGAAATCACTCATGGGGAACACCAACCCCTCTTTATCTCTCTGCCGGCTTCGCGAGGCATCATTTCCATCATGGTGCTCCTGGCTTCGCGTGTCCTGCGAGGGCAGGAAATAAAAGATACGCCAGTACCTTCCCCGCTCCCCCCGCACGGCTGCCTTTGGCAGGGTAACCTCCCAGTATCTCCCATGCAAAGCAAGTTTGCTGCAAATTAAGGCTGGGCTGGCTTTGCCAGATGGGCCAGGCTTCAGCGATGGGGGTGGCCAGGCTCGGGATGGGGACGAGGCTGGAGGTGGGGATCGTGACAAGGATGGGGATGGGGATGGGGATGGGGATGGGGATGGAGCTGCAGGTGCCACAGCTGGCCAGTGTTAGCCTAACGCCCTTGCCAGCTTTTTGTAGCTCAGCCTCTCTGCTTCTTCTGGAGGGGGTTTGCAGAGGTGACCTGTGGTGGGGAGGAGCTTTCTGCATGAAGTTTTGCTGGAAAATGACTGGGACAGAGTTGAGGTAGACCAAGTGGTTGGAAAAGGAGGATGAGGGCAAGGCTGTGGCTCCTGGAAAGGTCATCCTGAGCTAGCTGCTTGTCTGTGCTTCATCATGGGGAAAATACTGGTGTTGCGGAAGGGACTGAACTGTTGGTGGGTGAATTGTAAAGGTGCTCGTGAGAAGACAGCTCTGGGCTTGAAGAGCACAAAATGCCTTGTGGCAGTGGTGATCATGGCTCCCCTGTGGCGATGGATGGGCAGAAGGTGTCAAGATCTTGTTTGTGTTAAATCTCAGCCCTCCTGGCCTGTGCCAGCTTGGGAGGCCTCCTGGTCCACCTGCCCCTGGGTGGGTGAGGGAAGCTTTGTGCTGGGCAGCCCTGGCTTGGAGCAGCAGCAGCCTTGTGCTTGTGCGGGTGTTTCCTTATACATGCAAATTTATATGAGCCAAACTTCATTTTGAATGGGGAGGAGTTTCTTTTTTGAATGGAAAATCCTGTGGGATTTAAAATCCAGGAGGTAAATAAAGTAGGATACGGTCCTTTGGGATTTGGCAGATGTCTGGCTAAGGTAAGGCAGTCACAAACCACTTGATTGCTGCTCTTTTCTGCTGAGGTTTTTGTGCTGCTTTTGACATCATCTAAATATCCTGGTCCTGTGCTGAGCAGCACGGCTAAGATGTACTGCCGAGATCTGCCTTGTTTTCTTCCTCCAAGAGCTGTTTATGCAATGGGGTTTTATTTTGGTAGGGTTGTTTTTATTTCATGTATATACACAGTTCTGTTCTTCTACTGAATAAGCAGTGGAAATGTCTACCAAATTACAGAAAAGGCAGTGGATTTGGGAGTCTTTCAGTTCAGCTTGCTTTACGCTGGTCCCGAGCGGCAAAACCCCTGCAGCTTTGCAGGGAGCATTGCCTAACGCGTTGCAGGTGACAGCAGGCAAATCAAGAAAGCTGACCCCTGAGTTTTATTGATGGATTATGTTATATGCTCCTGAGTCACAAACTTCTGCTGCTCCAACCGCTCTGACCAGAATCCAGGTTGATAATGTGTAAGGAATAAACATGCTCTCACCTGTTGGCGAGAGCATTTTCCAGGGGTGCTCAGCACTCTGAGGAATAGGAAAATGAGTTGCTGCTGGTGTTAGGGGAACGTACTGTTTTCTAACATGCTAAATATTACGGTGCTCTTGATGTTGTAACTTCTCCTCCCGTTCGGTGCCTTTCATAATTCAAAATAGTAACTCCTGTCTATCGCAATCATACGGGGAATCCCTTAGTTATGTTCCTGTGTTGCCATCTGGGGAGACGGTGTGCAGTGAGATCCGACTGCTTTTAATCTGCTTTGACAAAAAAGGTTATTTGAGAAGCAACCTTCACGTTGAACTGCAGGTGACTCCAGTTGCACATGTAGGAGCGGCTGATGGGTTACTCGTTTTCATGCAAAACCCAGCGCTTTGGACTCCAGGAACAGGCCACAAGCTAGCTGCTGAAGGCTCCCGGGACTCCAAACTGTTGCCTGAATTAGGAATGATGTGCTGCTTCTGACTCCCCAAGTCTCATTTTGGCTCTCCCCTCTGTAGCCACAATCAAACCATTTCTTCTGTCTCTGGAGGACTTCCCCCAGCAACCCGCATCCCCCGACTCTCCCCCTGCACTTGTGCTCCCACAGAAGTGCTTGCAGATGGGACCGGGACAGCTTTCTACCTCCAGGGAAGATCCCCCTGTCCCAGGGTATTCTTAATTTTCTTTTTAATTAAAGAAATCCGATTTCTGTGTTCTCCTCAGAAAGGAGGACTTACTGCCCTGAGACTGTGATTCTCTGTGCACGATCACTCCTCGCACTGCACAAACCCCTGTCTTCAGTTGCTTCAGATAAAAGCCTGAAATCTTTGGGCCCAGCACCGACAGACTTGACAGATAAACGTTAATAGCCTTTGAGAAGGAAAAAAAATTGTAGATGGACAAAATGGAAGGTCAAACCTGGCAGAAATGGGAGAAAGTATATTGGGAGAATGTAGAAATTGAAATAACTTTGGTGCAGGCGTTTAAAGGCTCAGGTTTTAAGAAATGGCCTCTTGTATCTGTATCTGCTATAGAGTACGACTGTGAGTTGCCAAAGTAAGAAGGGAATTCCAGCTGGTTCATGGGAAAGCTCTGTGAAAAGGCATTGGCTTTTACAGGCCCATCCCTAAATGCTGGAATGACAAAAGATGAAGGAGAAAAGTTCAGATACACTTCACAAATATTTCTCCAAGTGATTCCTGGTTCCTAGTCTGCCCCGCGGTCTCTTGCCTGGGAGGATGTGTCTGGGTTGGGGTGGAGGACCATGACTGTGCTTTCTTGATGCTGCTTTGAGTGCTATATCCACAAGGAATCATTTTACTAAGCAAGAGAGGTCCACAGTGCATTGGAGCGAAGGAGCTCTCGGTCCCTGTGCTTTCCGTTGCTCCTTAAACTTCTAAGCTGACGAGCTGGGGGCTTCCTGGATCGCTGTCTGTTGTAGCGTAGCTTTGTAGGTGTAGG